GTAGATACACTCCTTGGAGAGAACAATCATGGAAGAAAGGAGGGCTGCTTATGCACAGGGAGACAGCTCAGGGGGCAGGAGTGAATGGAGGAATGGACACTGGGAAGGGGTAACTATGGGGAGGAAGTGGGAGGGGAGCTGCTGCACTGTGGTAAACTGTGGTCAATGTCATGAGACAAAGTGTAAGTGAACTGCTGTATGGAAAGTGAATCTGCTCTGTAAATCTTCACCCAAATCACAATAAAAAAAAAAAAAATGTTTGCCTTTCATTGTCTCCAATAATAATATATCCAACCACACAGCACATAAACTGAACTATACTCATGTAACCTGTATAGAAAAAAGTTAACACCTATCCTTAGAAAAGCCTGCTTATAAGATTGGCCCTTAGTTGGTGTCTGGGAACTTGGATTTTGGGAGATTTCCCAGCACTCCCAGAACTGACGATGTGCCTAGACTGTACAAAGAATGTGGTTTATGCTGAACATCCCTTTATTCTGAATCTGGAATACTGGTACATGCCAGGTAGAGAAGGCCTACATAGCTAGTCCCCAGTAAAAAACCTTGGACACTCACTGAGTCTCTAGAGAGCTTCTCTGGTAGACAACATTTCACATGTGTTGTCACAAAGTGTTGCTGGGGCAATTAAGACCATCCTCTGTGATTCCAGCAAGAAAGGGCTCTTAGAAGCTTGCACCTGGTTTCCTCTGGACTTTACCTCATATGAAGTCACTTTCACCTTATTGACAGTGCTTCATATTCTCTCAACTGTAATAAATCACAGCCATGAGCACAATTACATGCTGAATCCTGTGAGTCCCCTAACGAGTCACCAAACCTAGGAGTGATCTTGGGGAACTCCTGACACATACCACTTAGTAGATAATGGGCCTAGCTTTCTATTGTGACTCCCAGGATACAATACCAGATTCTATTTAAGGCCAGATCTTTACCTTCCTATATGGTGACAGGGAGCTGGGGTGAATGCTAAATGACTCAAAAAACAAGATATGGTCCCAGTTCAAAGACAGTAAAAAAAATAAAAAATTGTTAGCGTCCTCAGCTTCAGTATGTTTTTTTCCCTATATATCTGATTTGCTATAAACGCCATGAGTGCACTATTTTACCTATAATATTACTTACTTGACCTCTACTAAGTATACCAAGTGGCTTGGCAAAATGAGTATCAGTTTTAGGCAGGAATTCTTCTTTTTTGTTTAAAAGAGCTGAAGAATCAAAAAAGGAATCATGAAAGCTTTCCAAATATTACAATAGTGTAAATACCAACATTTAGTCTGCCAACATTAGCAGCCTAGTCTCCTAAGCAGCCTTATTGCAATAACATTTCTATATTTATCTTCCTTTTTAGTAAGGATATACCCAAGAAGTTGACTGTTTAATTACCTTTTCTAGAATAAGCTGTAACACCTTTCCTACTTTAAATTACTTGTCATGACAAGTATTTTTAGAAGAATCTAATTACATTAAAATAAATTTAACTTAGATTTCACTACTAATGTCCATGTATAAAAGGATCACGTCCTTCTTCACCTTAAAAAACTCCTTTCTTGTTAGTGTTATACTGATTTTGAGAGTACTTGCCTTTATATCAGAAACTGAGGGGATTTTTTCTTCCAGGAACAGCTCACCAAGTTGCTCATCTGAATTGGCAACACATTCAATCAGCTCCTGCCGGTGGTCAGCTGCTGCCACCCTCAATTCTGCTGGAATTTCACCATATCGAACAATCTCACTAAGAAAAGAAATGTTTATTTTGGTTCTTCGGGGATATTCAATTCAACTTATAAAACACTAATAAAAAAAACTAGACTAATAGCTATAACTTATTTAAGGTAAGAAAGAGCTCTAGAGGCGGGGCAAGATGGCGG